GGGAGCCCGATGCGCGACTCGATCCCGGGACTCCAGGATCATGACCTGAGCCAAAGGCAGTGGCTTAACCAACTGAGCCACCCAGGCACCCCTCCATCTCCAAACATGTTAAAGAGCGGACTCTCACAACTGTGATTGAACAATTTAAGAAATCTCAAGCTATTATAAGATTCAGAAAAGTTTTACATTTTTTTCTTAGATTGTTCAGACATAATTTTCCTTTTTCTTTTATTGAGGTATAATTGACTAGTGACACTTCTTTAAAAATATTACAAACTTTCTCCAAAGGAAAAAAAATATTACAAATAAATTATTTCAAATGCATGAAAAACAAAAGTATTCCCTGGCTAAAAGGAAATATAATTTCCCCCAAGGGAATGATTCCTAAATTTAAAAAAAAAGCCTTTATTTGTGTGAATCTTCAGGGCTCTAAAGAGAATGCTCCACAACAGTATCAAGACACATAGTGAGTATGTGAATAGAATTTCTCAATAAAAATAAAATCCATGGAGAGTCCACTTCAATCATTTAAGATCTTTAAAAACTGAAATTGCCGGGCGCCTGGGTGGCTCAGTTGGTTAAGCGACTGCCTTCGGCTCAGGTCATGATCCCGGAGTCCTGGGATTGAGTCCCACATCAGGCTCCCGGCTCAGCAGGGAGCCTGCTTCTCCCTCTGACCTTCTCCCCTCTCATGCTGTTTCTCTCTCTCTCTCAAATAAATAAATAAAATCTTAAAAAAAAACTGAAATTGCCAAACTCTCAATTAATCTTCAAATTAAAAAAAATTTGCTAAGACTAATTTGTAGGAACAAAATATATTATCTTTCTTATCCAACTAAAATGGTGTCAATGGACAGTCATCTAAATTTAAATACAAATGAAAACACCATATTCTCCTACTATAATGTGCATGTATGTCTCACCAAACAAGCAACATCCGATCACTATCTCCTTCCCCAGTTCTGTCTCTGACGCTTTAATACTCCACACACTGCCAACACTGTGCCAGATCTACAATGACCAGACTTTACAGAGGAATTTTGTTTACTGACCAGGTAATTTAAGATTTCTTTATATCATAAAGGTTGGGGAGAGGGCATTTTCCTTAGATTATATTAAATATTAATTAGTCTTTCAGGTAAATTTTGCCACTGAATTTTAATATTCAATGTAGATGTAAATAGTGCAAATAAAGTAGTATTTAGGGAAGTTTAATAGAATATACAAATCTAGGTGCGCCTCAGTGGCTCAGTCGATTAAGCATGTGACTTCTGACTTCAGTTCATGATCTCAAGGTCCTGAGATGGAGCCCCGTGTCTGGCTCCAAGCTGGCCATGGCACCTGCTTGGGGTTCTCTCACCCTCCGCCACTCGCCCTGTTCATGTGCTTGCTCTCTCTAAAAAGTTTAAAAAATGAAAAAAAAAGAATATACAAGTTGAGATAGGAATAATGATGGGTCCTATTGATCCCATTGAGGTCAGTTAGTTGCAGGATTAGTTTTCCAACAGTTATCTTTCAGTTTTAACAACTCTGAACAAGAGATGGTTCCATGCAAATCACCCCGTTGCAGAAACAACTTAAAGCACATACCTAGACAGCATGTCAGTAGTTTTCTATAAAAAGTGCAATATATTTCCCTCAGGTCATGATCCCGGGGTCCTGGGATTGAGCCCTGCCTTGGGCTCCCTACTGAGTGGGGAGTCGGCTTCTCTTCCCCCTCCCCCACTCATTCTCACTCTCTCAAATAAAATCTTTTTTTTAAAAATAGTGACATTACATCCTTTTAAATTTATCTAAACCACCAAACACGTGTTACTTGTTTGCTAGTAATCAGGCTCCCAGCGTTTTAGAGCCCAAAAATATACCCTTTCTTTCTGAATTTTAATGGAAAGATTATCTCTTTCCTTTGACAAGCAATGCCATCATAGAGAGGAGCACATTTACAAAACTCTTAACCATACCTGAAACTGACCAGAAACTGATTCAGAAATTAAGTCTACAACAGCAGGAACTCTAACTGTTCACAGTAAAGTTCAATCTTCCTGTAGGTCTTCAAGTTCTCCCTCCTTCACAGCCACAGGTAAAGGAGACAGACACTCACACAGGCCTTGACACATTGTTGACAAGCAGACATAAATAACTGTAACAATGACACCTCAGGAAATGACTGAGCATTCTAATCATCTTACAGCCCTCACGCGCTGGGGCACCTGGTTCATCCTCCTCAGTGTGAATACAGTCAACACCAAGAGGAAGAGACTTCTTGGAACCTTCTTCCCGCCATACAAACTTCTCAGTTTGAGTATCACAGCACTTTAGGAAAAGGATTTTTAAACTTACCCCCCGGACTTAACCCGGACTCTCAGGGTAGGAAGACATCTTAAAAATCATACAGTAATCCTATAGCTTTGTGCTGCCCAATAAGGTCCAAGCCATTCGCTAGCTACATGTAGCTACTAAGCACTTGAAATGTGGCTTGTCTGAATTCAAACGTACTCTCTAAGTATAAAAACCAGATTTTGTAGATTAAGGATGAAAGAATTCAAAATATCTCAATATTAACTTACCAAATGGATTACACCTGAAACTGTATGGGTTAAATAAAATATATTATTAAAATTAATTTCACTTGTTTCTTTTTTATTATTTTTTATTTAGGAATCTTTACATCGCTCTTATGGCTTGCATTACAGTTGGATTGCTACAGACCTCTAGACCCTATAGCAATACCTATAGACTCACAGTCTTAGTTCTAATAGCAAACAAGAGCTAACACTTGACATTTCCCAATCACAACTGCCATTTAAAAGCCAAAAGAAGGGTTCCTGGATGACTCAGTTGGGCTCTGAATCTTGGTTTTGGCTTAGGTCATAATCTTGGGGCTATGGGGGGCAGAGCCCTATGTGGGTGTCCTCGCTCAAAGGGAGTCTGCTTCTTTTCCTCTCTCTCTCCCTGTGCTCCTCCCACCACGCTCTCTCTCTCTCTCTCTAAAATAAATAAATCTTTTAAAAAATAATAGAAATAAAAGCCAAAAGAAAAAGCAGTATTTTATTTTCTGGATCCACTGAGATTATAATAAAAATAACTTAAGAAGAGTGTAAAAACAGAATCACTTTGTCCTGACACCATTTTAAAGAAAGATTACTTGACTTCAAAAAGGCAAAAATAGGGGCGCCTGGGTGGCTCAGTCGTTAAGCGTCTACCTTTGGTCCTAGGATAATATTGGGCTCCCTGCTCAGCGGGAAGCCTGCTTCTCCCTCTCTCACTCCCCCTGCTTGTGTTCCCTCTCTCGCTGTGTCTCTCTCTGTCAAATAAATAAATAAAATCTTTAAAAAAAAAAAGGCAAAAATAGCACAGGATGCAGAAACTACACCCCTCAAGAAAATAAGGTGGGAAATACACAAACCAAGTTTTTCTAATAAAGTAGATCTGAATGCTGATTATAAGATATATCTTTAAAGTAAATTAACATTTCTTTCATTTCCAGTATCTAGGGCCTCAGAAAGATATGTAAGATCTTGTCTTTATTATTCAAGCACCTTCAACCACAACCAACCACTAACATTATAAAAAGGGAAATACTTATAACCTCTCTTGTTCAAAACTAAAACAAAACAAAACAACAACAACCAAAAAAAACACAAGAGCAAAATAAGAAACATTAATTTCTCCAGGGCTGGGTAGGCTACCTTTGGTCCATAAACCTTATGAAATAAGAAAACATTTTAAAATAAATACCTTGCACGCGATTTTTTTAGAAGTGTATTTTAAACGTGAGAAACTCAACAACACATTTCTAGAAGCAAACCATTTCTTCCTCTATCATAAGACATCTTTCTTCTTTATTTGATTTAAAAGTATGCAGGCCTCCAGGGCTTTTAAGGAAAAAAACCCACTGTATTTCTGAATCTATGAAAATATTTTTAAAAGGGTAGAAGAGGAGAAAGCTCTTTAAAGAATGGAGGGGGAAAAGCTTTCTTGGGTGTCCAGAGGATGCAAGATCACTTTTAGAAAACTGTCAGTGGGGAAATCGTATAAAAAAATTTTTTGAGGAAATTTAGACCAAGGAGTCCCCAAGGCTTCCACAACAGTTGGTGAGATACTTTCTATGGTGTCCTAGAAAATTTATAATCCCCAAAACGCCATACATATTTGGCTGTCAACTTCTTCATCCATTTTGACATTCATCAGCTGAGTATAATCTTCAGACTTCAATTTGCTAGATGATACATTCCTTAGAAACCTTTTCCTCGCGCATATAAATACAAAGCTCAGTTACGCTCCCAGTCGAGTAAGCAGAAAGGATTGCACATATTTTAATGGGGGTGTTGATTGGCTACAGTTTCCTGCCCTGGTGTAGAGTACCGGGTAAGTCTCTTTCTGAGTATAATCCTTAAACCCCGAAATCACTCTCAGAGACTCGAGTCTTCTAACATTGCCCAATAGGTAAGAAGACTGCCAAAATTTCCATTAGAGCATCCTATTTTTAGAGTCTTTGGAATTGGTCTTCAAAATTGCATTCCACAGTATGTATCTGAGTAAGTTTATGCAGGGATCAAAATAAGCATCCTAAGGTCGTAACCTTTCTAAGCTTACAAATGGATTTAAAGCTAACCCTTAATTTTAAAAAGCCTTAACTTTAAATCTGTTTAACACGCAAATTAAACACAAAAATTATGGTAGATACCGACCCAGAGGGAGGTCCGGAAGGGAGTCCCCGGGCGGTTCTCGGTGGTGGCGGAGGAGACAGGTATGAAGGCAAACAAGGACGGTCCCCGGAGTGGGGAGCCAGAGCAGCGGCGGGGGGCGAGCGCGGCACGGACACCGGGCTGCAGGAACCGCAGGCGCGCGGGCGAGCGCGGAGGGCATGGGACTGCCCCGCACCAGGAGCGCAGAGGCTGCGCGCGGTGCCGGGGGAGGAGCGAGGGGGTTCCGGGGGGGATTTCCCGCCGCGGACGCCAGCCGGCCGGCGCCCCACATCCCGCTCATCCTCTCCTCACCTGGGAGTCGCAGGCGAACACAGGGCTACGGCTGGGCGCCGGGTATGTTTCCAGCCCCGCTCGCTGACATGGCGGCCGAAGAGCTGTCACAGAGCCTACTCGGGTCTCCCGCCGCTCCGGTGGAGAGGACACCTCTTGCCTTCCCGCCCCGCCTCCCTCTGCGCACCCTTCCCCGCTGGCCGGCTGGCGGCGGGCGGCCCGCGACCGCGGAGCATAGAGCGCGAACGGCTAGAGAGGAAGCGTGGGGGGGGAGGGGGCGGACAACCATAGAGTACCAGTCCAGACGCAACCCGGATGGTCCGTCTCTCTCCTCGTCCGTCCACTCACAGTCCCCGGGCGGCTCCCCCGGACGGAAACGGAAGTGAGGGAAATGGCAAGAAGAAGAGACCGTTCGCATGCGCAGTTTGGTGTCTAGTACTGCCCGGCCTAGTCGGCTGGTAGGAGGATGTTACACGTGGAGTTCTCTGTACGGAGCTCGCTGACGCTCTCCGGCGACGCTGGGACAGACCTTAGAGGCTGAAGATGTCGGTCCCGGTGGCGGGGCTCCCGCCGCGGCTAGCGCTCTCAGCCTTTGCCGGCGCTGGTCGCTTTTGCGTATTGGGTTCGGGAGCGGCGAGGTGGAGGGGCGTCCGCGCCGGGCACCGCCGAGGTTTGTCTGATCTCCACCTGCAGCTGGTGCCTAGTCAGGGTTTCAGAGACTCGCCCTCTTGGTTGCCCAAGTACCGCTCAGAGCCCAAGAGTTACGTAACCAGTCCGAAACTGGCCACGACCTTGGTGCAGATCCTGAAGAAAGAACGGAAAAACCCTGATCAGCTCTTCCTGGAGTGCAATCCAGGTGAGTCCGCCGGGGACTGCCTTTCCTTGGACGTTCATCGCTCGTGCGGACTTCCCTCGACCGCCCCTGGGGGGCCGTTTAAGACATGGCCCCAAGAAGCAACTTGGATGGTCGGTCTCAATCATGACCTGCAGCAGTTTGCACGTCATACAGCATTTGATAAAACATGCTCCTAGATTTTACTTTCTCCTCAAAATACTTGCAAGCTCCCCCCCGCCAAAAAAAAACCTTTTATCTTTTACATATGCCTTCTAGAGACCATAGCAGGATACCTAGAACATAAGACTTATAGACTTTCTGAAAAATACTTTTTTTTGGTAAAGATTTTTTTTAATTTTTTAATTAAGCTCTGTATCCAACGCGGGGCTTGCACTTACGACCCGGAGATCAAGAGTCGCATGCTCCACCGAGTGAGCCATCCAGGTGCCCCTGAAAAAATACTTTTTTAAAGGAGCTCTGCCTGTCATGAGTCAGTTCTGTTTGGGTTTGACAGTATCTTTTCCTGGTTAAAGTATTTGAGTAGTCCATGAATAAGTGGAATGCTAAAGGCAACTTTGTTTTTCCTGAGACATAGTAAAACATTATGATCAAGAGCTCAGGCTTTGGCTTTGACAGAATGGATTCAAAGCCAAGCAGCACCACTTACCAGTTGTGATATTGGAGTCAAATGATTTTATCCAATTCCCAGTTTTCCTATGTGTAAATGAGGACTGTAATCTACCTTGGGGATGTTGTGAGGATCAAAATTAGATAATAAATGTGAAACATCTACTCTAGTCGATATTGAGAGAAGTTGTTTTGCAAATAAACTTTTCCTTCTGTTAACACTAGGTCCTGGAATCCTGACTCAAGCATTACTTGAAAGCAAGGCCAAAGTGATTGCCCTTGAAAGTAACAGAACTTTTCTTCCACATTTGGAGGTATACTTTTAGTTTCTGAAACTAATTTATTGTTCAGAGAGCTATCTTTGAGTCTTTAGGGAAGTGAAATTGAAGTACACAATTTATATAGAATCACTTTGGAGGGCCTTGCTTGCTGTTACAATAACAATATATTGTTAACCCCCATGACTAGAGCATAGGAGGTATCAATGCTTGTTGAATGACTGAAAGACTGGAGTTCTCAGACTTATTCTCTGATTCTAGCTCTGCTGCAGACTAGTTGGGTGACTTTGAACCGTGTGTAACTGGCATCTCGAGGCTTGTTTCCTTATCTCTAGTAGGGTATCCTGTGCCTCTGCTTTCTGTGAACTTAGAATCTAGGTTAACAGGACTATGTTAACTCTGGATTTGGGGTTTCAGAGGCAAGATAGGTTTGGTATAGTCAGATATAATTGCAGGTAGTGAAAGCATTATCCAAATGGGTTTTTCAGTGAATTCTGCTGCTTGTCTGGCAGACAGGTTTATGTAACAGTGAAGTGGAAATTCCTTGTCTCACCGCCAGCCTCTTTCCTTCTCTTTCCCCTCCCTTCTGAGTCTCTAGATTCAGTTTAGGAAATTTATACTTCTCTGAGCCAAATTCTTGAAACCATGTATAATGGTATTATTTAAAAGTGCAGGACAACAAGGACGCCTGGGTGGCTCAGTTGTTAAGCGTCTGCCTTCGGCTCAGGTCATGATCCCAGGATCCTGGGATCCAGCCCCGCATCGGGCTCTCCGCTCCGCGGGAAGCCTGCTTCTCCCTCTCCCACTCTCCCTGCTCATGTTCCCTCTCTCACTGTGTCTCTCTCTGTCAAATAAATAAATAAAATCTTTAAAAAAAAAAGTGCAGGACTACAAAAAATTACAAAAATGTCCACTAAATCCAGTTGTTTATTTTTTAAATAAAACTATGCATGTTAGGTGGTGGTTATCCTACAACTGACAGCTTTGAAAAGAATTCAAGGGTTTTTTTTGTTTTGCTTTTTAAGATTTTATTCATTTGAGAGAGAGAGAGAGCACAAACAGAGGGGGAGAGAGAAGCAGAGCCGAGCAAGGACCCGGATGCACGACTCAATCCCAGGACCCTGAGGTCATGGCCTGAGCCTAAGGCAGGTGCTTAACCGCCTGAGCCACCCAGGCGCCCCGAGAATTGAAGGTTTTAGCCAGGTTATTTAATTGATGCTGAATCTGCTGGAATCCCAAAAAACATGAAGAGAAAAGAACACAAAATTGTTGAAAGATCATGGAGTGTGATTTAGTCACCATAACCATCTAATTTCAGTTTCACCGTAGGAATTGGAAACAAGATAGCTTTTATTTTGATCTTTTAAAAAAAGGATTACTTTTTTTTTTTTTTGAGAGGGAGGAGGAGAGAAAGAGCATCTTCACCAGGCTCCACGCCTAGCTTGTAGCCTGACCCAGGGCTCGATCTCAGGACTCTGAGATCATGACCTGAGCTGAAATCAAGAGTTGGACACTCAACTGACTAAGCCACACAAGTGCCCCAAGGCCTACTTTTGAAGGTTAATCTGCATGTTCACAAAACAATTGAAAACATTAAAATATCTATTGAGTTTCTTATCCAATAACACAGTAGTTGCTTTTTTGTAAGATCAAGATACATGTTAATTTGAAATCCATGATTCCATGAAAAATGGAGTGTTAGGGGCTAGAAAGTTCACGACACGCAGAACTTTCCTGTAAGAAATATAGGAATATTCATCGTAAATGTTTCTGACACTACAGTGTAAACACAAAATCCATCTCTGATCAAATCCAATCTTTGGTTAGAACTAAGTTTGTGTTCCAGTTCTAACTCCCCATCCCCACTCCCCTCAGCACTAACTTGAGCTCAGCCCTCAGTAGGTATTTACTCTTATTAATCATCATTATGACAGAGGGGAAAGCCATTCAAATAAGGTTTTATGTGAATTCATCTATTTGCCAGAATAAAAGAGAAGTAACCATTTAAATAGAAGTTTTGTGGGCACCTGGGTGGCTCAGTTAAGTGTCCAACTCGGTTTCGGCTCAGATCATGATCTCAGGGTCATGGGATCAAGCCCTGAGTAGGGCTCCTCGCTCATCAGGGAGTCGACTTGAAGATTCTCTCTCCATTTGCCCCCCGCCCCCGCTTGTGTGCATGTTTGCAAACGCACTCTCTCTCTCTAAATAAATCTTAAAAAAAAAAAGAAATAAAATAATTAGAAGTTTTACAGTGGCCCTAAATCACAGCTTTAAAGTGGTGCTCTCAGCAGACAATGCTTCTAGCCACCCAGAGTTTGCTCCTAAAAACTGAAAAGATTTTCAAGGATGATGCTTGACTCAGAATTTTTGTCTAACGTTAGAACTCCCACCCTCTCAAATAAAATTCCTGGGACTCCACATTAACAGTGTTTCAAGCAGGAACAGTTAGTTTGCCTATCTGGATGTGCTAGAGGTACAGTTTTTAAATTGTGTTCTATAATAATAAATCATGATATATTCCTTTTGAAAATGAGAACTACTGTTGCAGAAAGCTATACATGTTCAGTTGAAGAGCTCTCAGCTTTTGTGGCAAGTGGTGTGGTATTTCAGCAGAGATAGAACAGTCTTTTCAAGTCACGCTGAATTTCAGCCCTAGCTATCACTACCTTTAGGGCCCTTGAGCAATTAATTTAATGTTTGACTTTTCTCATATGTAAAATAGAGACATTAATGCCCCACTTGTAAAGGATCTTGTTGCAATTTCTTTTTATTTTAAGGATTTTATTTATTTTAGAGAGAGAGCAAGGGTGGTGGGGGAGGGGCAGAAGGAGAGAGAGAATCACAAGCAGACTCCCCGCCGAGCGTGGAGCCCAATGTGGGGCTCAATCTGATGACCCTGAGATCATGACCTGAGCCATAATCAAGAGTTGGTTGCTTAACCAACTGTGCCACCCAGGTGCCCCTCTTGTTGCAATTTAAATACGATGAAATGTGCTTCCTGTTTTTGAATCCTAAATGAAATCAAGTTTTTAAATGTGATTTCACTATTATTGTAGAACTAAATTATTCTGGAGTTCTGGTTGTTGTATCATTATTACCATTATTGCATGGTACGTGACAGATGCAAAAACAAAAACGTACTTTCAAAATACTAGTGGAACCAAATCTTAATGTATACATTCCTATCAAACCAAAATTCAATAGTTTTTCTTAGTTACAAAGATTAAAATATAACTCTTGAGTAACTTCTGAGGTTATTTTATTGCTATACATACAGAACACTTTGTAAGATTTCAAGATAATCTGTTTTTAAGATAAGCATCAAATAAGTGTTCTTTTTCTCTGTCATAACACCACAGTCTGATTTTCTTCTTTACATATTTGGCTTATTCTCAGCTTTTTGTGAGACTGGAGTTACTCCATCCTCAGGCGTAGTCTTCTGTGCTTCTCCCTAGGGGGTCTCATCTGTACCCCTGGCTTTAATAACCTTCAACAAGCAAAATTCTCACCAATTTATATCTTTGGCCTGGACCGCTCCACTGACCTCCCTATTCAGGTCTACAACTTCCTACCTGGTGTCTCCACGTGGTTCACCTAATAGACATCTCA